AAAGGCTAGTATCTTTATTATATAATTTAGGAGAATTTATTATTATTTCTATATAGTTCTAAATAAGTATTATTTTTTATATAATCTAGCTAATATTATAGGTTTTATAGAGATTCTAGTATATTAATATTATTATTATAGAAACTTTATAAAATTAGAGAATTATTACTTAGTACTAAAGCTAGATATTATATTAGATTCTTATCCTAACTAATCTAATAAATTTTATACTTTAGTTTATTTCTTACTAGCTTAACTATAATAACCTACTTAATATTATATTCTTATTTACTATTCTCTAGTATTAATAAGAGTAATTCCGGGTTTACTTAATCTAATAAAGAATTCTAGAAGTCTTTTTATAGTTTTTCTATATAAAAAACTAGATATATCTTTATAATTTCTAGTAGTTTTAAAAGAAATAAATAATTATATTATTCTAGAATTTTAAATAAGTCTTTTATTTAATTCCCTAGCTTCTAGTTTAGATAATCGGATTTCTAATACTTTATAGTAATTTATATCTTATTTCCGATTTTGAAATTAATTAAATAATAGTATTTATTAGCTTATACTATATATTATTTTTATATTTACTTTATATTACCTTAAATAAGTTATTATAATTCATATAATTAATTTACTAATACTTTAGTTTTATTTTTATTTAATTTCTTTTTAGATATATTAGCTTTAATAAGAGAGTTCTAGTTTAGAAAGATATGAGGCTTATAGCCCTTTTTAGTTATAAATAGAGACTAGCTAATAATTTTATACTAAAGAAAGATTTATTAATAATTAATTATAATAATCTATTTATTCTAGTTATTCTAATAATAGTTAATATATGAGTATAATTTTTAATTAAAATACTAATTAATAATCTCTATTTATTTATCTATTTAGAAATAATTAGCTATAGAAAGCTTAAGCTTTATACTAATTCTTATATAGAATTTGCTTTAAAAATTAGATATAAATTAAAGTTCCTAATTTAATATAATTATTTCTAAAATACTTATTTAGTATATTATATAAAATAAAAATAGAAATACTAGCTATTTGGCTATAATTATATCTTATATAAGAATTATAATTAGATACTTAAATAAGTAATTTATAAATATAATAACTATATTATAGCCTAATTTGCTTTCTAAATAGCTTTTAAAATTTATAATAATATATTATTAGAAATAATTAGGAATTAGAAAAAAATAAAATAAACTAGACTTCTTATTTCTAGATATATATAATCTCTTACAAATATAGTAATTATTATAGTATTAATTAATATTCTTACTTATAAATAGCTAGTAATATTATTTCTTTAATAGCTATTAGAACTTTATATATTTAGGATATTTAGAAAAGAATTTATTATATATTTTATAAATTAGGATAATCTATAAAAGTAATCCGGGAATTATTTTATTTTCTATAATATAAAGTTTTCTATAATATAAAAGAAGGCTATTTTATAATATTTAGATATTACTTTTAGCTTAAGCTATTATATATAATTTCTTTAAATCTAATAATATATAATTATCTTATAGAATCTTATCTATAAGTTATAAACTATTATATTTAGTAAAAGCCTCTAATAATACTTTTATAAAAACTATTATAATAGAATTTACTAGTAAAGCTTCTAAAAAAATACCTTTTTTTAGGGGAATTATATTTTTAATAGGAATATTCTTCTCTAGAAAATCTTTAGTATATACTTAATTTTTAGAGCCGAATTCCGGATTGAGTAAGCTAATCTTATAAAATATTATTATAAGTTATAGGTTATAAATAATCTCCGGATTAATTTTATTTTTAGGAAAAAGTACTTGAGTTTATAGCTTTTCCTTAATCTGGCTCTAAATATCTACTTTATCTTATTTTTATAATAAAGTATCTATTTACTTATTTAATTTTTCAAAATAATATATAAGCTTAAAATAATAGTAAAATAAAAGCTTAGCTTATCTAGCTTATTAAGAAAAGAGCTTCTTAATAATTATAAAATACTTTAAGATATAGTAATTAGAATAAACTTTAAAGAAAGTATTTTAAAGGCTTTCTAGCTTAGCTTTCTATTCCTCTAGTACTTATATTATAATAAGTATTTCCTTATTATATATATTATAATTAAGCTTTATTAGGAATATAGTTTTAGAAAAATAAATTATAAAATATTAAAGGCCTATTTCCGGGTCTTATTAAAAGAATAGGCTAGTAATTACTTTTTTAGATATATTTATTTCTATTATTATAGGCAGATCTAAATTATAGTATTATAGAACTAGAATAGAAATTATAGTTTTTTTTAGATAAGTAAAAGCCTCTTAATATTACTTGAACTATTTAAAGGAAATTCCCTTTTTTATAAATAAAGTAAAAAGTCTAGTAATTTACTTATACTTTCTAATAAAATATTTATAAAAGTTATAGAAGCCAAAGAAAAACTATATACTCTTAACTATTTTTAGGAATTACTAGTTATATATTACCTTAATTTTATTAGAATCTATTTTAATATTAGATATAGAAATAATAAAACCCAAATACTTTATATATATAACTTTAAATTCCGATTTCTTAATATTTATTTAAAGGCTAGTAAGATATAAATAATCTAGTACTTTTTATATATATTATTTGTATTTTACTAGGTTCTCTAAATAAATAAGAATATTATTAAGGTATATTATATAAAAGTTATCTAAATATTTAAAGAGTATATTATTTATATAATATTAATATATAGCCGGGCCATTTATAAAGCCTTTCTAAAGAATATTATATTTATATATTTTATAATAAATACGGAATATTATTAGCTTCTAAAAGTCTAGGTCTATAGCTATATAATAGAAAGCTTAGTAAATATCTAATTTAATATAAATCTTGGCCTTAGATAATTAACTTAAAGTTTTATTAATAAGTAAAAAAAAATATTAATTCTTTTGGATAATATTATTTAAATAGTAGAAATTAATATAAAAGTATAAATCTTTATTTACTTTCTTTATAAAAAGAACTAATAAAGTAAAAGAAGCCTAACTAGCTTTAATAAAGCCTTTAGCCAGATTATTTTTTAAGAAATACTTGATTTTTAAAAGCTCTTAAATAGATTATTACTAAAGAAATTAATATCTAATATTCTCGGTTCTCTTTAGGCCTTTAATCTAAATCTTATAATTATATAATTTATAGAAAGAAAAGATATTAGATTTCTTTTTTAAGAAAATAAAGATATATTTCTTAAGTTCCGGAAATAATATTCTCTATAATTACTAAAATTCTATTTCTCCTAGTTATTAATTCTCTAGGCCAGAAATAGCTTCTTTTTTCCGAGCTTTAAGCTTTTTATTAATCTTATAGATAGAGATTTAACTAATAATATTATCTTTTCTTTTAGCTATATAATTAAATACTATAGAGATAAAAATAGCTAGGTCTAATATTTACTTTTTATTAAGAACCTCTTTTTATTTCTTTAGCTTTTACTTAGGTATTATATCTTAATTAGGCTATAAAATCTTCTTTTTTATAGTCTTATATAATTTCTTCTAATTAGTCTAAAAGAAGAAAAACTACTTAAGAATAAAAGGTTTCCAGAAATAGCTTATAATAGAATCTTATTAATTAGTATTTTTTTAATACTTTTTATTAGATTACTTTTCTAGCTATTATTAAAAAGTACTAATAATATAACTAAATCATATAGATTTAGGCTTATTTTTTAGCTATATAAGCCTATATCTTTTATAATTAACTAGAATATTAATATATATTACTTATTTTTTATTAAGAATAATATTATAATTTCTAAGATTTAGAATAATTATAAATATATTAATATTTTATCTATTAATTAGAAATAAGACTTCTATATATTTCTTAGTAAATTTAGCTAGCTTTCTATTAAAACCATATATAATATAGAATAAAGAAAGGAATTATAGTTCTATTTCTAAAAATTATTTTATAAGCTAAATAAGCTTTATATTAATAAAAGTATAATTATTAGCTCTAGTATTAATAAGAGAAAAAGACTTAATTCCTAATTTATTTATACTAATAATATAGGGTATTATAAAAGTATTTCTTTCTATTAGATAAGTTAAATTAATTTTTACTAAATCCATACTATAAGTTCCTAAAATAGAGACTTTCTTTAGGAGTACTTATTTCCCGGTTTTATACTAGAATTAGAATTTGAATTCTTTAAATACTTTACTAGAATAATATAATGGAGTAAACAACCAGACGGCGAGCCCGCATGCGGAAACCGCGACCGCCGCATCGGGCAAGGCGCGCGCACAGGCCGGCCGCCGCTTTCGCGGGGTATAAGAACGTCGCGTCGTCCATTGCTCCCTCCTTTCTCTCCTTCTTCCCTTTCTAACCGCCCCAATGACCCTCCACCTGCGCGACTTTCATGCGTATTCAGCCCTTCTGCCTAGAATCCTGCGCCTTCCCACCAGGCTCCCCTGATCGGCTACGCCGCAGCTGAGGAGAGGAAGACCGCACCCGCGAGGAGCGGGGCAGCTTTCAACCAGAATCCGCGATCGCCCCCTACAGCTTCGATGCTGCCGAGCAATTATGATACCGATCTCCTCTACAGGTGCGCCTTCGCATTAGCCGACTTACGAGCTCAGTAGTGTCCCGACCCTCTCGCAATCTGCCTCGTCGTCGCATGATCACCGCCCCTCACTATAGCGTGCTCCAGAGGATGAGAGGCCGTGGACAAGGCCTGCCCCCGTTACAGCACGATGGCCAGTCGCAGAAATGCCTCACGACGACGCGGACTGGCTTCTGCCTAGCTGTGCCCCAGGTGCCGCAGGTGGATGACGCGTCGGGAGCTTCCTGGTGAGATTCCCCCTTGCCGCAGCACATGTCGTATTCGTCTTGATTACGTGGCCCTGGGCTGATTCGAGGCGGTAGGATCATACGAGGCTCTTCCAGGAGCATTGCTTAGAGGATCCGCTAATTAGACCGCGCTAGCTACAGGATTAGCAGCTGAGACGCCGGACGACGGGAAGGACCTGGATTATGCCAGTCTACTAGTCTGCCTAAAGCCTTCGGACGGGCGGAGAGGGCAATATCCGAAGTCATGCACCGCCTCCTCGTATGACGATCGTCGCTCCTTCCTACTCAGCTATTCACGGCCTCGCCAATAATCGAGAGATAATACTGAGATCGGCTAATCGTAGTGCATAGAGAAGCAGGAGTAATAGCTATGGATAGGCGTATTCCGGTATAAGAGCGCAGGATTAGCGGTGTTAGGGCCTTATAACTACGGCAGATCTCTCTGCGCGAGAGGGGCCGCATTAATACCGAGGCATTTTTGACTAGAGGGGTAGTTAGAAGGAGGGAAGCCTAGTATGGCAGGCGTGTACGGCGGGCCATAGCGCGAATTCCGGTTCTACGAGGGCAGTATGAGAAGTCTACTTAAACCCTTTAATTTCCCTGTCTCTACTATCTCTTTATAGTCTAGTTATATAACTAGTAGCTAGCCGAGAACTCCTCAAATACTCCCAATTATTTCCACGTGCTCGAGATAGCTACTCTTGCCTTTAAACCGTATACCTATATACTAACTCCTCTGTGCTTTAAGAGCGCAGTAACCCCCTATAGACCTGCCCTAAAATAAGTCAGTATCTTTAATAAGCTCTAGTAGATTAGGTCGAGTAGTATATCACTCAGTATACCGCGACTAGTAGTACTAGTAGTAGTAATAGCTAATGGTAATAGAGGCTATAGGCCTAGAATTCGAGGTATATTCTAAGATAGAGATGTATTTAACTTATAGTAATAGTAACTAACTTATAGGAATCTAACTAGGGGCTAGTACTATCTATAGTAATAGTAATAAAGAAAATAATAACGAAATTAATAATAATGGCTACGACCTTCCTACTATCGAAAAACTACTACTTAGTAAGCTATAAGAGCAGGGCTTTATAGCGGCTAACCCTAACCCAGGCTACAAGAAGTAAGGAGTTAAGGAGGTAGCTATAGATAAGAGGGGCGGTACTATTAACTACTATAGGTTAATATCAGGTAATAACTCTAGTAATAGCCAAAGTAAGTGCGCCTACTATCCTTTATTATAGAAATAGAGGGCTAGTTTTACTAATATAGTATAGAAGATCCAATTCTCAAGGGAAATAGTAACTCGAGTATCTCTAAAGCCAAAGTTAATAATAATAGTCTTTGTACTAAAAGTATAGTAGTACTAGGTATAGGCTTTTTTAATAGCTCAGAGATAGCTATTAACTCGATTACTCTGGGTGCTACTTGCAGTTCCGATAAGTAGTATGATATTAATAACTTCCCCGAAACGGCGCTGCGCTTACCGCTTATAGAATAAGGAGCTTTAATATTAAACTTCATATACCCTTATACTCCTTCTTTGTACCTCTCGAGCAAGCCATTATACGATAGTATTAGTATAGAAGAATCGCGCTATACTAGATCCGAAGCTACGACCTCCTCTTTGAGCCTGCCTCTATACTATTATAGAGCGTTGCCAGAGACCTAGCTCAGTTAAGAGAGTTATCTTTATACTAGTTAAGGCATAGCAAACGAATACGGACTAGTTAACCCTATACTCGATACTTTCCCCCTTAATAAGGGGGCAAGAGAGTAGCAAGAGGTAGAGTAGGAGAAGTACGAATATAATAGTAAGGATGAGGACAAGGAACTATAGCAAGAGCTAAATGGCGTGGTACCGGCGGTTACGGCCGAGAGGGCTAGTAGAAGTCCAAGACTAGCTAATGAACGGTAATTACTTCCTAACCTCGAACTATCTCTAGAACCGAGTTATAACGAGGCAGGAAGCCGAAGTAATCATAATAGTAATAACAAGCTTAATAGCTCTGACTCGGCCAGGGACAATGAGAAGGAACCACGTCCTACTAAGCGGAAACAGCTATCCTTATCTCATAGTAGCCTAGTATATAAGAAGTATAGGTGCCCTATTTAGTAGAGCCCTTCCCGCTAGCGTTAATCTCTCTCTAAGCCCTATTACTAGTATCCTAAGTCGTATTTCCCTCTTAACTAGAGATTAAGAGTTATTATAAACTCGAGTACCAAGGGCTAATTACCTTTACTAGCGCCCTTTATACTATAAAGTATAAATATAATAATACTACTTAATAACTCTAGCCTTAGCTAATTATCTAGAGCTACCCTACTAATACTAACCGAGATTATATTCCGTCCATACTTCGTATATTACTACTTCTTTACTGCGGTTATCTGGGATAGTTATAATAGGCGAGGAGTCTCTCTTACCTAGGTTATCTGACTTATCGCGAGTACTAGCCACATAAGGAAGATTAATAACTTTACTATTAAGCTAATAGAGTAATATTTATACCTCCTAAGTAACTTTAGTTAGTATGCCTTATCCCGGCTCTCGTCTAATAATATAGCTCTATTAATTACTATAGAGGCAGGCTATAACTATATTAATACAACGCATACTAGACCCTAATATAATAGAGCTATTAATACTAGAGCTCTTATATTATAAAGATATAAGCTATTAAGTAGTAATAATAATAGTAGTTTAAGTAATAGGGATTCTAATATTAGTAGTAATAATAACGGGTATTCGAGCGAGGCTAAAAAGTAGGGTAATTTAAGTATAAGGATAAATATCCCATAGAACTCTATAGACGAGTAGTACTTAGTAGTATAGAAGAAGAAGGGCAAGCCTTAGGACTAGATCTTTAAAAAGTTTCTAGGTAGAACTTATCCCGTAATACACATATACTAGAGTATAGTCTATCCTAGAAGCGAGTAAGCTTCCTCTTATAGGTAAATAGAAAGTAGCTTAAGCTCTATAATATGGGCACAAATCCAGTTTAGCTCTAAATTACTAAGTATGGCATACCTTAGATTAAATTTAGAGTAGGCTTTAATTACTAAGTTCTTATAATATAGCTACTTATTATATTATTTATATACTTTTCTAGTCTCGGTTTTCTTAATAGCCTTTAAAAGGCTATATAAGGTTATAGGGTATTAATATAAACTAAAAGCTTTATAAATCCACTTTTCCCTAGATTCACTAGGCAAATTTTTAGAAAGTTAGATAAGTAAGTAAATAAGAAGAATTTTAATAAAGATATATAGCTACTAAAGCCGTGAATTAATTACTATATAATAGCGAGTCTACTATAAGAAGCATTATCCTAGTCTAATTCTTTAGCTTACTAGTTTGCTAAGCCTTTTATTTTCTCTTAAATAGGAAGTTATTAGCTAATAACCTAATTAGCTAGGTTTATAATTCTATAAAAGTATTAAGATTATTCTTTTCTAATATAGTCTAGATATAAGGATTATATTATTTATGAGTTCTCTAAGTCTCTTATAGTAATGCCCTAACCTTCTAGTAACTATTAAGGTTATTAATAACTAGTATACTATTCTCTTTAAATATAATATTAGATAATATAATATTATTATAAATAATACTAAGTAAATAAAAGTAACAAATACTAGCTAGAATACTATCTAGACACGCTTTTATAGTATTATTAATAAATAAGCGCTTACTTAAGAGAAAGTCAGATTTACTCAAATAGTAGAGATTAACTTTCTCCTATAATATTAATATATAATACTAGAAATAAATGCCTAATACTTGCCTATTAGTATTTTAGTAGCCCCTATAAATAGTAATATTTAGGTAAGAATAGAGTTTTAGGAATTCGTATGCCTTAATTTTATAGAGAATTTATTATTCGAGATTAGGGCTAGTATAAGCCTAAAGGTCTAGTATTTTAATATAGTAATTATTCGGGGAATCTAGTATTACCTAGGTAAGCTTTACCTTTAGGCCCTTATTCTTAGTCTCTAATAGCTTTATATTATAAAGCTCGGAGAAATTTAGCTTATAATAAGGGCCTTTTATAGTATATAATTAGCTGTTCTTTTAGATAATAAGTTATAAGTAGCTAAACTTATATGAGTTATTAACTTTCTTAAAGGCCTTAGCTAACTTAATAATCTCTATAATATATAGGGGCGCTTATTAAACTAAATTAATGGGGATATAGAAGTAGTGAGTTAAATTTAGTAAAAGAATATATATAGTATTAGAGAGCTAGTTTGGCTCAGATTACTTCCCGCTTCCTGCTAACTATTAATAGTACTATGGCCTATAAAAGTAAAGATAATAGAGTATTAATATGTCTCTAGTATATATAACTAGTAAATATATTATAATTAGTAAAGAATAATAATATAGGAATATAAGATACAAATTACGTATAAATAATAAGATAACCTTAATAATGAATTAATTAATTAAGTACTAGCTATAGGTAGTTCCCGGAATAATAATAAGTAATTGAGAATATAAAACTATAAGGAAAAGTTATAAAATTAGTTCCTATCTCATAATTAGATAGGAATATTCTAATCTATAGTATAAGTATCTCGGATATTCTATATGTTTTTTCTAGGGTTAAAGATACCTAATATAAGTACTATCTTATTTTGCGGGGGGCTAATATTTCACGGAGTCTAGATAAGTAATTAACCTATAATTAAAGATCTTTTATAGTATACTATTATCTACTAAAGACTAATAGTAATAGTTAACGAGGTCTCTACTGGCATTAGTTACTTGGGTAGCTATCTATAAGGCTATAAGGTTAGATGTCGAGCCTTATAAATATACCTATAATTATATCTTAAAGAAATTCTAATAGTAAGTAACTAGAAGACTAAAAGATATATTTGAGGCTATAACTAGTAAAATCACACAAAGTATATAAGGCGGGAAAATATAGAAAAGACAACTTGGGGTATATTTAATTAGGGATTAAGGACTACTTGTTCGTGTTTTGGGAAAGTGCATATAGCTTTATACTTGGGGAGGATTATTAGTAGTAGTAGGCACATGTGCCTCCCTCCCCCCAAGAGATAGTAATTCATGTACTAATATCAAAAATAATAGCTGCCTAGAGAACGGTAGTTAATTGAAATTATGACTTGTCCTTTCCTGTAGTCCTTAACGAATCGCGGTATGAGCCGTTGCCCATTTCCCAAAGGAATTCATTACTAAGCTATTAAATAATAGGGATTATAGATTCGGTTATAGCTAAAGTAACCAGACACCCTCAGCCCATTCCTGTAGCAGAACGCAGTATTAATAACTCGCGTTACGGTTACCGCATCTAGAAACGGCTATAGCAGGAGCAGGGTTCGTCTAATAGTTATCCAGGAATTGATTAGACCTGCTTTAAGACCTTCCAAAAGGGCCCGCTGTGCGGGGGGTTAGTAATGGATATTGGCTGGGCAATGATAGCAAGGTAATAAAGGATGATATGAAAGGGGGTCTAAAGATATTAAGGAGAACCCCCTACCCTTACAGTATCCTTAATATCTCCAGACCGCCTTTCGAACATTACATCATTACAGGCAGGCAGGTATAGCTGTGGGAAAAGTAAGCAAAAGTGAATAAAAGTGAACCTTATTATAGGCTAATAATGAGTTGAACTACTATAGACTACCTAAACATATGGATTACTACTGGAATTAACGAACCCTTTGTCA